CTCTGAACAAAACCGTTTTTACTTTTTTTCCATTGTAAAAAAATTCTACTGTACAATGGCAGCGCTGACCTTTTTCTCCGGTCACACTAACAATATCGATTTTCTTCTTTTTCTTTTTCTTATTTTTTTAACAGAAGAGTACAGCCAAGTGAGCCAGGAGGAGGACAGCAGCAGCACTGCTGCCCGTCTGCTGCCCGAATTTGTCGGCCAAGTGCCCAATGTGACGGTGCAGGTTGGACGGGAGGCCCGGCTGCCGTGCATCATTCGCAATTTGGCCACGTATCGGGTAAGAATCAGGATGAGGGAAATTGAGATTGAGATTGAGAAGCAATCAGAAATCACAATCACCTCCTCCTCCTCCTCTTCCTGTCAGCCATCATTTGATTGAACTCTAATTGTTTCCATGTTTTTTTGCAGGCGGCCTGGATCCGCGATGAGGAGAAGAATATTCTCACACTGCAGCGGCAAATGGTCACCCGGGATCCGCGAATCTCACTGCAAGAGGAAAGTCAGATGGACATTGGCAATGGAGGCGCAGATGATGCTGCTCAGGAGGCGAATCGTATTCGCTACTTTGTGCTCATCATTCGCAATGTTCAGGTGGAGGATCGAGGAGGGTAAGTGGGTTGATGATAAGGTTTTTGTTATCAGAGTTTATGATAAAATTTTATCATTTTGTTGCCAGGTACATGTGCCAGATCAACCTCAATCCGATGAAGGCGCAGGTGGGCCACCTGCGAGTGGTTGTCCCGCCGGACATTATTGACGAGGAGAGCTCCGATGATGTGACCATCGTCGAGGGCGCCAATGTGACCTTGAAGTGCCGGGCAAAGGGCTATCCGCAGCCTAACATTGAGGTACAGATTAAGATGTTTGAATTTTGTTTTGATCTGATAAAGATTTAAATTTTTTGTTTTTTAGTGGCGGCGAGAGGATGGCAATCGCGTTCCACTCGGTGGCAGTCGGAGAATAATGTGTAAGTGCAATCATTTTTTGAAATTATCAAAATTTTAAAAACTGTTTTCTGTACAGTAAACAAAACCGAGGGCGAGCTGCTGGACATTATTCGCACCACGCGAGTGCACTCAGGCGCCTGGCTGTGCATTGCCTCCAATGGTTTGTTGACTTACAAAATTTTTTTTAGTTTTTATGTCAACTTTTTTTATTTCAGGCGTTATGCCCTCAGTCAGCCGGCGAATACTTCTCAATGTGCAGTGTAAGCTTTTTCAGTGCCCCTTTTTTAAATTTAAAAACACTAATTTTGTTGATATTTAATTTTTGACTTTTTTCAGTCGCACCTCAAATATGGATTCCACTTGAGGAGATTGGGTAATTATTTGAGTTTACTGTTTAATTTTAGAAAATTTTTAAAACTTCTTCGTTTTCTTTTAATTCAGTGCTCCACTTGGCTCCAACATCACCCTCGACTGTCACATTGAAGCCTATCCACTGCCGTTGAATTACTGGAAGTACGGCACCCAGACGGAAAGTATCTACATCAGCGGCCCAAAGTACGAGGTCTCAGTGAAGGAGAAGGGCTACAAGCGACATCTTCGGCTTACAATTCATCGACTCGAGGCTTCCGACCTTGGTCTCTACTATTGTCACGCCCAAAATTCACTCGGACGACAGGAGCGGCAGGTGCGAGTGTACGGTAAGTTTTTTGGTGGGGTGACAAAATAAAAATTTTTTTGTTGTACTTTAAAATTCGGTCACAGATTTAGCTGTGAAAAAAGACGAGACTAGAATGCCAAATTTTAACAGCAGCGAATTCTTAAATGTATCTTTTCTCTCTTTGTGTCATCTGACCAATGATGATCATCGGTCGCTTGAACGACAACTCTCATCAAATGATTGCATTAAGTGCTGCTGCTGCTGCTGCTTAGAATTAGCCGCACAGAATTCAGCAAACAACAGACGTATAATTTATTTAATATGACCGCTACTTGTCTCTCTCTCCCTCTTCTATCGATGCTCAGCTTCAATCTATTATTTATTGCACTCATCGAGTTTAGCAGGAGTAGAAAGAAGGAAAGGAAGGCAGGCAGGCAGCAGCTTGAGCAAATCAGAGGAGGAAAAAGAAAAAGAGAGACAGAAGCAGCAGGAATCGTGTAGCCGATATCTTTAATTATCCCCCTCCCCTGCCCTGGTAATGCAATTAAAGGCCGCTTAAGTTGAATTCAGAGGTCTTAGGAAAAGAAAGAACAAGTAGAGCAAACCAGATTGGCATTAAGTAATGATGTTTGCTGTTGTTGTCCGAGAAAAAACATGGCGCGACGGAACATGCACACAACACACTCAAACTCTGACGTTACTTTCTTTGTTTTTTGTCTTTTTTTCTTTTTCCCCCTGTCCACCCTCTTTTTCCTTGTTTCTTCTCTACCCAGCAAGTGAAACCCATCAGCAGAAGCAGTCGGCAAACTCGAAGCAATCGATTAGCTCGATGACCACCAGCAAAGATGGCGGAAAGCAGCAGGGAAAGGGAAAGGGAGGGAAGAAGAATCGCGCCAAGCTGAAGCGAAAGAAAGTAGTGACCGGTGGTGGTGGTGAAAACGACAACCAAACTGAAAACTCGGGCGGAAACATTCTGTACAGCGTCATCAATACGTTTCGAAAGCCGTTGGAGGGTGGTGGCACTTCTTCTTCTTCTACCTCAACTTCCAGTTCCTCAAGTTCTACTTCTTCCTCCTCTTCCTCTAAAAAATCATCATCTGGTGACCTGAAATCAGGCAACACAGTAGACGAGGAAATTGAGGTAGAGGACGATTACGAGGACGAGGGTGAAGACGATTACCCTCATTACGGCGCTAATTCCGCATCCTCATTACGGTCCTTGGGCTCCTCTTCTTCGTTAATGCTGCTGTTCCTAATCGTTTGTTGCAGTTGTACGGTGCTTCTTCTTCTTTGTCCCACTTAGCATACACACACTGAGAAAAGATCTGTCTTCCCTTTTCAAATCATCAGTTTGGAATCACTCACTCACATTGCACTACTGATCGGATAAATGATGCACTCTAGGGTGCACTACTACTCTTTGTACAGGAGAAAGAAAAAAATCACTGAACACAGAGGAGAAAAGCAGACACAGGAGAATCGAAATCAAAAGTCGTAGAATTGAAACCAATTGAATGTTGAAATGTTCTTTTTCTTGGATTCCTCTTTTTTGATTGCGGTTTCAAGCGGAGGCACGTTTTCCCTGTGTTTTAGATTTTGAGTATTTGAAAAGAAGGAAAAAAAGATAGGAAATCAAAACATTCAAAAGGAAGGAGAAAAAATAGGAAAGAAAACGTGCTCACACACATTTCAATGCTGTATCTATCTTTTGTACTGACTTTCCACTCACTTCATTCACCTTGTTTTATTACTTCAACACTACTACTTGATAAGCACACACATACACAGTCAAATCTAAATGATATTTGTACATATGCACACACACTCACACTCAAGCACAGACAAATCAAACAAATGGTTGACATTCAAAGTTGAGTTATTGAATTGTATATTGACAATGCTGGCAACGTGATTAAAATGGACATGTTTTTAGTCAAATGATGAAATAAAGAATAAAAGGATGAAACATCAATTTCCGGTTTTGTAAGTGCTGTTATAATGCCTCCACCGATCGAATCAATATCAGTGTTCGATGTTTGATGCCTTTTTTTCAAGTAAACCTCAACCCTAAAAGTAGTAAATAAAGTAAATAACCTACTAATTGCTATTTGATTTGAGCTGTTTCCTTTACTAAATCGATCGCTGCCAAAATGACAGCAGATGTGCTGCAAACCAAACAAACTAAAAATAAAAAAATGCATTGAAACTGCTGGTGTTGTTGTTTTCTGAAGTTTTTTCTGACATTTTTTGCAAAAAGTTTTCACACAAATTTCTTTTGGCTAATTTTGATAAGAATTGCACGCAATACGAAAAAATAAATGTACAGTTGAGGATGAAGATTGACAGTGATGATAATTGAGATCAGGTGAGATAAGATGAAAAACTTTGAACTGCTGACTGACAAGAAAACGTCATTATTCAAAGTAAACGATAATCTACTCGTCATGGGCATCGTTGGAAAGGTCTTAACAAATAAAAATATACTTGTCTTGACGATTTCTGCATATTTTTTAGCGGTGTTTCCGAGAAATCGGGTCTCAAAGTTGACGACTTGTAGTTGGACCGTCTAAAGTTAAAAAACAATCGATACTGATCGCCAGTGAAACGATATCCATGCGCTTGCACTGAAGACTCTTCAGTGAAGACAACAGAACAACAATCAACTGTTTTTGTGGTCTCTGTCTCTTTGGTGCTGTTGAACTGTGTTGGTCTACTTTTTCACTTTTTCACCTTGCCTAATTAGTGGCCACCACCGGAATGGATCGATTCTTCTTCTTCTTCTTCTTCATCTGCAAAACACTTCTTCACCACCGCTGGACCGTAAGTGATGGCCCAGGTTGATTGGCCCATTACACTGTTTGTTTGTTTATTTATTTGCTTGTTTTTCCATGTTTGAACTTCTTGCTAATTTGTTGCCTTTTCCTTTCTTTCTTTAGTTGGCCAGAAAAGTGGTCTCTGCACAGACACAAACACACACACTTGGTCTAATCAACATGCTCCCCTCCTTGAACCTTCTTTTCGGGCACGACTTTCTGCTCTCATCAGTTTTGGTAAGTAGTTTTTCTTTTTGTTTTTTCCGTTTTTCCTCTTTGTCTCAACTTTTTGGAACAACAGTAGTCGAGTTTGCAAATTCTCTGTCTTTTACCAGCCGAATCGCCTCTGGCAACAAACTTTGACTCTCTCATTTCTCTCTTCACTTTGCGATCTTTCGATTGCTCAGTTGTTTTGCCTGAAAACGGGGCCTGATTATATTCCGTGCTGGCCCTCCGAAGTTCTACTTCTTTATGCTTGTTTGTGTGGTTTTTGATGAACTTGTACTTTTTTGCCAATTGTTTTTTCCACTTTCTCCCTCTTTTCCTTTTTCCCAGCCTAACGATCACTGGGCGCCCTTTGCTGACTTTTCAGCAGTGTGCACTTTTGGGAGAAGGGAGAAAGTGAGGGGCACTCACAGTTTGAGCACAATTGAAAGAGAATTATTGAAAATGTTGCCAACATTAATTTGTCAGTGCACTCTTTTCTCTTCACTTTCCACTTTTGGCCCTTTTTCGCTCGCTCTCTTTTGCCTGTTCTAAACGTTTAGACAAAGGTAATCACCAGCAGAGAAAGACATTGACTATTGAATTGAATTGCAAATTTTCCGAGACGAGCACCACGGAGATCAGCAATGAAAAAATTGTTTTTTCTCAGGTTAATTGTTTTTTACAGTTGAAAGGTGAACAATTGTGTGTCTTAGAATCAGACTTCAAATTCTGCCTAACTGTTATTTCGTTTTGGCGGGCGGCCCGGTAGGGCAGAAGCCCGCTTATTACTTTGCCTGTCTGTCTGTCTGTCTGTCT